GGCGGGGGAGGGGAGGGAGGGAGGAGGCGGGGGGCGAGGCTGCAGTTGAGTGAGTTGAGTCTGGAGAAATCTGGGTGGGGAGCTGGGGGCGTCCCTGCCCTGAGCTCGCCGCGCGGCGGGGGGAGACGGAGGCATCTTGGTTTTGAGGTTTGTCCCGAGCGGTGCTGGGGGAGGCTGAGTGGGATGGGACGGTACTGGGGTCCCGGGAGGAAGGGGCGGGAGGGGGAGACGGAGAACTCACCCGGGAATTCGGGCCGAGCCCGGCTGGGTCTGTAAGCCCCGAGGGTGCGCCGAGCGGGCTGGGGACTTTGCAGGCGGGTGACTTGTTGAAGGCGGGGAAAGTGAAAGCCCGGAGGACCCAGGTCGGGGGCTCCAGCAGGTGAGGTGACGGTCGGGTCCGGGAGTCGCTGTGGGGGTCGTGGACACACCAGTGGTTTCCGAAGCGGAGCCCCAGTCGCCGACCTTTGAAAGTTGCAGGGACGATGGAGATGTCACTGGGTGGTGGTGGGGAGCCGGGTGAAATGGAGATTCCCTTGGGAAAACCACAGCCGGTTGAGATGTTCAGAGCAGAGGGGAGAGCCCGAGGCCTGCGATGGTGCTGCTGGGGGCCTGCGGGAAGGCTCCCCGGCCTGGAGGAGGCCTGGTCTGTGCTGGAGAGGGGTGGCTTCGGGGCTCAACGGTCTATCTATCTATCTATCTATCTATCTATCTATCTATCTACCTACCTATCTTTAGTATGACCATGCACTTTATTTCCTTCCCTTTTAGACAATTAGTGTTTTAATTGTGCATTCCAATTCTCTATCAAACTATTACTCTGAGGAGGATATCTCTCTGCCTGTTGTTAGATATTAGGCCTGTACGGTGTACATTGTGGTCTGAAGAAATTACTGTCAACTATCCTAATGGGTGTAGTATTGTCTGTTCTGCTTTTTTTATAGCTTTCTGAGCATTTTCATCTACCACCAGGTAAACACAACCCCATCCAGAATCAGTGTCTGTCTGTTTCTGTCAAGACCCATTTGTAGCACTCAGAGCTGCTAGCATCAGTCTGATTTGCCATCTATGACCAGGGTCTTCCCACTAGGCAGTTTGCCACATGGCCATCTGCAGTCTCTGTCTCTCTTGTTGGTTAACAGAACAACAGAACAGCTCTTACTGGAATTTTGTGCAAGAGGAACTTCAGCCCATCTCTGCATTGCTGCAGTGTCTATTCATTTCATGAGCCCATGTGACCAAGTTCAGTGAGGACATAGGGTTACCTGCTTGTCGATTGCAGTCAGTTCTGAATCTGAAAGATTTCTGATGGGCATCAACATGTCCTACTCTAATGCACTGCACAGATTTTCCTCAGTGATTTCTATAGAGTCATGCTCTATATCAGTGATGGCGAATCTTTTGAGCTCGGCATGTCAGCATTTTGGAAAACCCTAACTTAACTCTGGTGCCGTGTCACATATAGAAATTTTTTGATATTTGCAACCATAGTAAAACAAAGACTTATATTTTTGATATTTATTTTATATATTTAAATGCCATTTAACAAAGAAAAATCAACCAAAAAAATGAGTTCGAGTGTCACCTCTGACACGCGTGTCATAGGTTCGCCATCACTGGCAATTTGTGTGTAATTTGGATTTTGAGCTAAGGGTTCCTGACCTGGATTCTGAGGTGACTAGCACACGTGAAAAGGTACTTCTGTGCACTGAAATTTCTTCTGTGGGCTCTTTCCCCCCGGCCTTCAGGAGTTGCCTGCGCCTCTGAATCAAAAGCAGATTCTCTCTGGCTTGTGGGGGGGGAGTACAGAGGTCTCACAAGCATTATCATCAGCCGCGTACTTGATCGCGGTGACTTGGGACTGGTTGTAGTAATCAGGAGGCTGGCTCTCCCATTGGCTTCTGTGTGACTTGGAACAAATCTCATTTACTCTCCGGTTTTCCCATTGATGTTGTGGTGAGACCCCTGCCCAGACCACTCATAACGCATTGCGGTGCTTAACAAGTTGGTGCTCTCTGCAGGGTGCTTTGAGCACTTCTGAGAGTGAGAGATGCTGTATTATACAGCTCAACCTTCTCGCTTCTCAAACTCTATCTCAGGAACAGACCGAATTCAGCTTTGGTAGCAGTGATTAGCACACTTGATTAAGGAACAGAAAGGAGTAGCTTATCCATCGATCTTGTTCTGTTTGTCTGGGTTTTGTTTTTTATTAGTTTTCCCCTTTCAGTGGCAAGACAGAAATAGCGATGACAATTGTAGAAAGTTAAGCAGAGGGATAGTGGAATAAACACTCGGTGAGCACATCGATCTTGTTCTGTTTGTCTGGGTTTTGTTTTTTAGTAGTTTTCCCCTTTCAGTGGCAAGACAGAAATAGTGATGACAATTGTAGAAAGTTAAGCAGAGGTCCCGGGGGATAGTGGAATAAACACTCGGTGAGCGCTAGCTAACCTTAGGCTGATACCAGCCCTAAATTTGTGTGATCTCGGACATGTTACTTGGCTTCCTGGTGCCTTAATTGTCTTCAAATATGAACTAATGCTGGAATGACTGGCTTGTCTGTCTGCCTCGGTGACTATGATGTTAGGGCTTATAGAAACTTTATTTGCTCTAGATCAGGGATTCTTAACATCTGTGTCCCATGTATCTCTTGGCCATCTAATGAATGGTGAGGACCCCTTCTGAGAACCATGTTTTTTTAAATGCATCAGCAGAATTACAAACGACACGGAAACAGTAAAATGTTAAACAATTGTGATAGTCATTTACATGCTTCTTTATGACGCATTAAGTAGCAAAAAGTAGCTACAGGTCTAACAATACCATAATTTTGAAATAGTGATGAGTGTAAATACTCCGTGGCCATATCTGCAGGGGCTGTGTGTGATGTGAAAGTGTCTGTGGTTTCTCTTGGTGTCGCAGTCACAGGACAGCTGATACTACCGCCAGTTGTCACCGATGTTCACAATTGAGGGCAGTGCTAACTTTTACTCAGAGGTTAGTGACTGTGAAGAGGGAAGTTCCCCAGCAAGTTCACAGTTGCCCCTCCTCCCTCCCTGGTCTCTCCACAGACCCCTGGGGAGGCAGTAGATCCTAGATTAAGAATTCCTGCTCTAGACCAACTGATTTTCAAAAGTCAAATGATCTTATGGCCACTTGCATGTTAAGCTTTGCAATATTTTCTCAGCATCTCCGCCATGCTAAGAACAAGGGCATAGAGGAGATCTAAAATAAAAGGCCATTTTGCAACCAGTGGTGACTGTTCTTGGTTGTGGAGAAAGTGAAAAACAATGATTAGAAAGAGGCTTTTGCGTCTGCTGGATTCTGCTGTTTCTAAACTCCCCAAGTCTTCGTCGCGATGGACTTGGGCTGCAGTGCTCCAGCTTAGCTTGTGAGTTTTGGTGGTTTTGCCTGCCTTCCCATTTTTGACCTAGACCTAATCATGTTCTTCCAGATACTGTTTTGGCTTCAGCGCCTTGGGGAACGGGTGGTTCTCTTTGAAATTGGTGTGAATTGGGGGATGAACTTTTCCATTCTTCTCATCCCTGTAGGACTGAACGTGGGACTAACTGGCGTCACCCCACGTTGACCTAAAACTTCCCATCTGCGTGGGAAGCAGAACTCGTTCTTGGGAAGCTCCTGTGCCCCGATGTAGAAGAGAAAGCGGATTGGACATCTTGAAAGGTAAAGAGCCTGTGATGAGCCCATCACTCCTGTGGTTTAATCTCAGTGGGTTGTATTGTTGTGTCTTTTTCTGCAGGGTCTCTTGTAAGTTAAAAGTGCGTTTGTTTGTTTATTGTTGTAGGGGCAGAGGACATGGGGTTAAACGTCAGTCGGTCTCTTGTAAGTTAAAAGTGCGTTTGTTTGTTTATTATTGTAGCAGTCCTCAAGGCAGAGGACATGGGGTTAAACGTCAGTTAGAACTGCCGGTGCAGTGACCTTATACTTCTCTGTGAGCAGGGACTTCTGCGGGAACGCACCTCATGGGAACGGCGGGGGGTGAGGAGTTAAAGCAGGTGTTCGTCGTGTCGCCATTGGTTGGAGTGACTTTGAGGCCTGGTAGCACTGCCAAGCCCCGGCTCAGTTGGGCTTCACCAGCATTGGTTGAGTTTCTGCTGGGTGCTGGGTGCTGAGAGGATGAACCTCCTTTCCGGGGGCTCTAACCATTTAGCAACACCAGCCAGGGCTGAAATTTAATTTTGAATGCTTAAATTTTGTCAAAATGCTTTCGCTTTTTTATTTGCTTGCTTAAAGTTCGTTAGCTTCAAGGATGATAGATGTCCGTTTTTCCCCTGTGAGTATGAGAACAAGTATGAGTATTTTGTTTGCACCAAGGTTTTCAGTACGTGCCCATAGTCTAGTTTTCTTTTTGTCACACGTTGGAAAGCTTGGTTCTTCCGATTGTGTACTTTTTCTGAGAGGAAGCCTTTTAGCAGTTGGCGTGCCAGAAGTTAAGGAGCGAGGAATGGAATCCTGAGGCCTGCTAGTCCCACATTCTAAGTTTGATTCTATGCCTTTTATGGAGCAATGATCATAGCCTAGAAAAGTTTGTTAAACAGGACAGAGTTGTAATACACTTGACTTCTTAGAGCAGGACGGTGGGAAAGGATCATTGGAAGAGTTGAAATTGGAATCGGAGCGGTGATTCTGGCCTGGGTTCGGTTAATTTGTGAATTTCCTTATGACTTGTGGCAACCTGTAGGGCAGTGGTTCTCAACCTTCCTAATGCCACAACCCTTTAATACAGTTCCTCATGTTGTGGTGACCCCCAATTTCATTGTTACAACTTGAACATACTTAAATCATAGTGATAAATCACAAAAACAATATGTAATTATATATGTGTTTTCCGATGGTCTTAGGCAACCCCTGTGAAAGGGTCATTCGACCCCCAAAGGGGTCGTGACCCACAGGTTGAGAACCGCTGCTGTAGGGTCTTCTTTGAAAGTTTCCTAAGTGATCTGGCCTTAGGACACTCTGGGACTTGGTTCTTCCTTGCAGTTTGGAAACTATACATTGTGGGCTAAGGGGGCGCAGTGCTGCACTTCTGATTCGTAAGGACTCTTGCTGGACATGCTCCTCTTGAGGAGAGCCTCCGTGGATTTACCAGCTCAATTCAGAATGACACTGCGCACAGTAGGCACTCAGTCAGAGGGAGTCACGTGGTCCGCATTCAGCCCCCCCTCCCCCCAAAGCCTATGAAAGGAGATTTCCTTGCTCAGTGCCTCCCAGTGGATTACAGCTGGGAGGAGGGAGGAGCGGAGAATGGTCTTCACTTGGTGAATCAAGAGCATATGTGGACTTCTGTCTCCCTCACCTTTACAGTCAGCTCTCGGTTCTCTGTGCTAATAAGGAATGTGCAGAAGCAAAATGGGCTTTTTTCCTGCTAAGCTCCCAGAAATTTGAAAAGAAGGACAGTCAGTTTTACTTGTTCTTAGTATTTCTCCAGTCTCTGGGAATGAAACGTGCAGTTGGGAAGGAGGGAGACTCACAGCCTGGAAACAGCTACTGATTGACAGGATTCCCTTCGCACTCATTCTGTTCACACGGGAGATGACAACTTCCTCTTCAACTCATGCTCTAGGATAAATGGGCAACCTGTCCTTTTCTTAAGATATTCAGTAACAAATCATATTGTTGATTTAAAAAATCCACTTAGGAGTTTTTCTTCTTTACTTTCTCCTTGTCCAGGTGAGGGTCACCTTTGAGCCAGGGGTTCCTGGGCTCCTCTGACTTCTCACCTCCAGGATGAGCACTGCTGTGTCGTGACCCTGGGGGTTTGGGTGAGTAGCCTGATGGACGATCCCTCTAGAAAGCGCGCCTGGCTTAGACGATTGGGGGGTGGGGGGAAGGTTGGGCAGGCTCCCGATATTTTCTGGCAAATACCATGTGCCAGACACTATGGTAAATGCTAGGAATGTGGGGATGAACATAGCAGTCTTGGCCCCTGCCTGCATGGAGCCTGGTGAGAGAGGTGAATGTTACACAGGTGAGCACATCGTTACAAACATGGAAAGTGTTGTGAAGGTGAAACAGGGTGCGATGAAAAGTGTGAAAGGGAGGGTGTCATGGAGATTCGTGGCAGTCAGGTGTCCCTCCTCTCCGAAGAAGAAACACTGAGGCTGGGACTCAGTCATTCGGCAAAAGTACTCAAGCTTAGGTTTGGGTTGGAATAAGGGAGAAAGGTGTCAAGAATGACTCCCCAGTTACTGGCATGAGCTGGAGATGAAGGTGCTGTCTACTAAAATGTGGAAGACCGAAGGGAAATGTTTTTGGGAGGCAGGGTATATAGAGAAGAGGAATTCTTTGATCTTGTTAAGTGTGAGACATTGAGGTGGTGTCAGGTTGGCAGCTGTGTCTGTAAGTCTGCAGATGGAGAAGTAAAATTGGGGTGGTTGGCATGGAGAGAACTCACAGAATGAGAAGAGGAGCCAGGGTGGAGTCCGAGGAACTCTGAATTGTAGAGATCGGGGAGAGGGGTCAGCGATTGGAGGGCTGGAGTGGTAGGAAACCTAAGGAAGTGTGGTGTTGTGGAAACAAGAGTCTCCTTGTCTGTGAAATGGGCATCGCAGTGGCCCCTGCCTTCGGGAGGCCGTGGGGGAGCAGGTGTGTGTGGACGGTGCTGGGAAGAGTTTCAGGAAGGAAGCGATCAGCTGGTAAGTTCCAAGATGGAATAAGATGAGGTTAGAGAAGTGGCCCGTGGTGACCTTAACAAAAATAGTGGTTTCTGCGATCTGTGGGGAGACGTTGGTTTAAAATGGTTAAAGGGTGACCGGCAGGTGAGGAAATACCGTGTCCTGTCAGCTCTCTGGAGCAGCTTGGCTCTGAAGGAGAATGGGATCTAGGGCTGGGTTTTGTTTTTCCTTATTGTTACTCTTACTCGGGAAGAGGCTACAACATGTCCGAACGCTGCTGGGAAATATTCAGGAGATGTGGGAGATGGAGGGCAAGGCCAAAGGAGAGAGAGAGTGCTCAGTCAGCTGAAGGGTGGGGGGCACCTGTGGGGGATGGCGTTTGGGGAAGAGGGGACTCCTTTCTGGTTCAGGAATAGAGAAGAAAGAGGGAGTGGGTGGTGATGTAAACAGGTTGGAGATAAGATGGTGAGGACTTCCTGCCTGGAGACCTCTCTTCTCCCTATTAAATCCTGGGCAAGACCATGCACGAGAAGGAGGAGGGAAGGAGGAAAGTGAGAGTTGGGGATGGAGAAGGTATGGAGTGATGTGAGGCGAGTGAGCTTGCTGGAGAGTGGTGGTCGCCATAGGGGTAGCTAACCGGACGCCGTGTTGTGCTGCTCAGCGCTTTCTGTGGACCAGCTCGCCTTGTCCCCAGGTCCCTGCTGTGACAGGCATTCCGTGGTGGCTGGCTGAACGCCAGCTCTGCCTCTTCCTAGGCTGTGACCCAACTTACCTGGGCAACTCACCTAACAGTTCAAGCCTCAGTGTCCTCATCTCTCAGTAGGGAGAGCAGTGGTTCCCGCCTCTGGGGTGGTTGTGAGTGAGTGACAGTGCTTAGACAGTGACTGACACATAGTAAATGTTTTAAGTATTTTATAGAAGAAAAGAGGGAAACATTGTATATATAGATCTAAGCAGTTAGGAGATGTACTTGGGGAAAATAATCTCTCGCTGGCTATAATTAGCCACTCTGGAGAAGATCTTTCCAGTCCTTAGAAGTAAACAGTTGAGTATAACGTGCAAACGTAGGAGCCGAAGAGCCTAATTTTATTCTTTGGAGCCGAATGACAAGATGCTTGGGGATTCTGCTCAGTGGTTGAGGTGTCAGGAAGGCCGAAGCTGGGTGACTTATTCCCGCCCACCCTCCTGGATTAGGGGTTGAAACACCTGGGATTTCCGGGTACTGGGTGACCCCACATGCTTGTTCCAGCCTCTGTGCTGTCCGTCCAGCCATAAAGTGATGGCAAGGAGGTGACTGAGAGCAAAGAGCCCGGCCAGCAAGCACCCGCTGGAGACCGAGGAGCCGTTCCCAGCCGTGTGCTCTGTCCATTCGTCTGTAAATGCCTGTTGACCAGGTTGGACTAAATTGTGAGAATGAGAAAGTGTATGGAGAAGTACTTCGAAAATGGCAGTGTTTTATGTTCACAGCATCATTAGAAATTACCTTTGCTAGCAGCTCATCAGAAGTGCCCGACGTATTGAGGTGACTTGGTATCTGGAATATGTTTTGAGGTCTTTGGGGGAAGACTATACCACACATGCCAGGTGCTTCTGTCGTGGAGGAAACTGAATAAGTCACCGAGGGTTCAGCCACCTTCTTAGTACAGAGAAGTATATAAAACGGAAGAACTTCAAAGCAAGGTGCTTGTCTTCAAAGAACATAGTGTTTAAGGGGGATGCAATGTACACATAAGACTGTTCAGTACGACATGTGATGGAGGGCTGGGATTCGCGATGCAGACAGAAGGCAGCAGGAGAAGTTACAGGAAGGGACTGTATCGGTGGTAACAGCTTTTCTTTTCCTGAGTAAGTGTTTCCTGATGGCTCTCTCCATGCAAGATGCATTCGCTGCTTCTATTTTACCAGTGGCTCCTGATGTTTAGTGAGAAGTTACAGAATGGTTTACGACTGTGTATGTCAAACTTGACAACCACAATCAATTTTATAGTCTAAACTGGAAAAAAGAAAAAGCTGAAGGTGGTGTGGGATAAAAATACAACTTCACCTGCAATCAAGACCAACGTGTTTTGGAGCTGCTTTCCCCTAAGGTTGACACAGAACTATTCCATAGCATTTTATTCTAGTTCTTTTTCCTGACTTCACGTAAAAAGCAAAGAATGCAATCGTGGGCCTCAGAACTTCCATAAATTCCTCTCAGTGTCGCAAGTAAAATAGCTGGGACTCTTGCACATTCTGAACGAAGAAGTAGACATTTCCCACGTGATAGCGATCATTCTCAGTGCCAAACCCTGGAGCATCACGAACCCTCCCAGTGTCAGTCCCGCTCCCGAGGCCCCACATGTATGTAGCTGTAACACCTGAGCTGCTGCTAACTCCCTTGGGTTCCTGAGCCACGAATCTTGTGTCTAATAATGTCATCCTCCTGTCGCCTCCCCATCGGTGAAACACCAGAAAGCGGGGAGGGAGGCGAAGCAGCAGTGGTTGCACAGACACCTCCTTTTCCTACCTGAAGGGCTTTCTCATTTGCTCTCTGGCTCGGTTTGGGCATATTTTCTTGACCTTTATGCTTCACATTAGCCTTGCAAATTGGCTAAAACAAACCTTAGCCTTCAAAGATGTTCTTTTACCGTCACATTCTGGATCCTTCCCAGGCTTCCCACGCCTGCAGCCCCTGCCACTGAGCAGTGAGGACAGGCGCCCACTTGACATAACTGACGAGGAAGATCATGGGAACCGGGGGAAACTGATTGGGTTTGGTATTGGCTCAAGCGTTGGTTTCAGCAGTGCCTCCTGAACCGGTTCCCAGCCGCGGCCCTGAGAGTGTGCGCGGAGATTCATTTGCTTCATGGTTTGAAGTCGGGGCGGGCTGGTTGCATTTCGGTGCCATTGTTTGTCATCAGAGGTGAAACACCAGATAGTTGCTATGGATTTGGAGTACCCAGTGGTGTTCAAAGCATTGTTTTTAGAAAAGAAAACCTCAAGTTTCTGCGGGTTTTATATTTGGAAGTAGAGAAATGTAAGGGAAAATACGTGGCTCAAGATAAAAGTGTTTTTCTCGAATCTGCCCGGGACGTGATGCCTGGGTGGGAGGCTCGGTGCTTGGCAGAACGTCTTAGTCACTCTCCGGCTGCTTAGCACCAGGGCCTGTGGGCCAGTCTGTGAACATCACCCTTTCCTGTGACCTGACGGAAGCCGAGGCCTGGTCTAGCTGCTGCATCGCCGAGTTGGCTGCTGTGTTCACCTTGATCCTGTTCTAAGGGTGTTTTATGTCTCTGGTTTTGCTCCCAATCTTTCTGGGTGTCCTTTCCCGCAGGGTGCCCTGGAGATGCGAGATTTTCCTTTGGCGGCAGGAGGCACACACCCAGAGGATGCTGGAGCTGCGAGGGGAGAGGACCCACTTCCACAGCGGAGGAAAACAAAGAGGAAAAAGGCACCGAGGCGGCCAGCGCTGAGGGGCGCCCCCTGCTCGCAGTGGGCCACTGCCACTGCCCTGCGCAGCTGTTCCTGCTGCCGCCCGAGAGGAACTCGGGGAGCCCGTCCTGCCTGTGACTGCCAGCTCAGGATTTCAATCAATGCATTCCAGTAACCCCAAAGTGAGGAGCTCCCCATCAGGAAACGCACAGAGGTGAGGCGGCCGCCCCACGGGCCGTGCGACCAAATGGGGAAAGGAAGAGGCCGTAGATAAGGAAATAGTCATAGAAGAGTAAACGCAGCGTTTATGTCAGTTTTTCTTTGTTACCCTTTTGTCCATCCTCCCCTTCCGGTCCTCTTTACCTGGCCTCCTCGCCAGAGCCCAAACGAAAGGGCCTCCGGCGCCACAGTCCAGAACTAAGACAGCAGCCCCTCGACTGGGAAGCTCTTTCCTCCGGCCCATGTACTGAAGTTGATGTTTTACCAGAATTTTCCTGGTCCCCTGGGGGCAGTGGCTAGTGTAGCCTCTCCAGTGTGATGCTGCTTGGGGGTGGGGACTGGGCCCTGGGGGGTGGGGGGGTTCTAACCTGCCAGTCATGGGGGTCTCCTTGCTCTCGGGACCTCGTGTTCTCAGCAGAGAGGCTGGGCTCCGTTACAGCTGTCCCAGGCCATCAGCTGGGGGTGGGGTGGCAGTGTGATCTCCGAGACCTGTTTGTTTACTCTGCGCTAGTCTCCGTGTAAGAGTCACTTCTGTGTACATAGAAACGGTTGTCCTTTATTGACAGAAGCCCTAGAGATGGGTCCCCATGTGGCTCTAGGGTTCCCGAGACCTGGCAGGCCTGGTGTGAGCCGCCTCTCCGAGCTGGGAGCGGGTGGAGGGAACCAGCAAGTGGCTGAGGTGAACGGGTGGTGACAGGCCTCCAGGCTCCCTGACCCACGCTAGGGACTGCCTCTCCCTGAGTGTGCCGACCAGCTGCTCCCAGTGTCTGATGGCCCTGTTGTCTGTCTCTTTCAGTAGCCCTAAGTCAAAGCAGGAGGTGATGGTCCGTCCCCCCACAGTGATGTCCCCATCTGGAAACCCCCAGCTGGATTCCAAATTCTCCAACCAGGGTAAACAGGGGGGCTCAGCCAGCCACTCCCAGCCATCCCCCTGTGACTCCAAGAGTGCGGGCCATACCCCTAAAGCGCTCCCTGGCCCAGGTGGGAGCATGGGGCTGAAGAATGGGGCTGGAAATGGTGCCAAGGGCAAGGGGAAAAGGGAGCGAAGTATTTCCGCCGACTCCTTTGATCAGAGAGATCCTGGGACTCCAAACGATGACCCTGACCTGAAAGGTATGTCTATAAGATCTCTGAGACTCAGAGGGAAGTAGGTATTTCGGAGGGAAGGCCTCTGGCATTGGCGAATGTCGGGAGCCCATAGCCAAGTGGGGAGAGCAGGTGTCCGATCAGGAGCTTGCCTTTAAGGTGGAACTGTTTCTTCTCCTTTTCTGATGCTAAAGAATAGTGTGGAACCGCCTTGCTGAGGAATTCTTGCTCTCGAGGATGCAGGTGCTGGGGTTATGGCCGCCTGCCCCATGGCCCTAACCATGCTCTGCTGGATGCTGGCCTCTGTGATGTTTGTACTTCAGTATCTAAGCCAGCCGCTCCAGTTTGTCTGTGGGAGCAGCCCCCACTGGAGCAATTTTTCTGGCCTCTCCTCTTCTCCATCAGATTCATCCTCCATAACTTGGGTTTTGTGCTATGCGGTTGCTACTTTGCCAGAGTTGTGGGCACAAGGGGATCCCTGGCACTAGTCCGGGTTTGTCACAGCCGATGCCAATGTGGTAGATAGAGACTTGGTGGCCATGGAAATGGAGTGAGCCAGGAAGAATGGGATAGCGGCTGTGGGTTTAGGCCTTTTCCTCCTGGTATAAAACCAGAAATCTTAACTGCAGGCCTGCACATGGTCAGTACTCAGGAAGTGGGAGTGTGATTCCCCAGCCCAGATTAGGAGGAGAGCCTGGGGAGCCATCATCGTTCCCCCGTCAGGGGTCTGTGGGAGCGCTGTGCTGGGTGTGGGCTGCCGTGGCCGGGAAATCAGATGCAGTTCTGTCCTCAAGGATTTGAGCGCACCCGGACAGCAGACCCTTAAACAACTATGATAAAATGTGTACAATTCGAACTGCTGAAGTAAGAGAAGTTAGGGCTCGGGGGTGTCCAGTCCAGGCCACGTGGTTCCAGAAAGGTTTCCAGGAAGAGGGGACATTATGCTAATATCTGAAGAATATGGGGAGAGAAGGAGGTGGGGAGCAGTGCTTTATAATTCGTCATGGAGGGAAAAGCATATTTCAGTTCAAATGAGTAGAAGAGGATTCCTCTTAGCTAGGTACTTCCTCCTTGAGATTTTCAAGGTGGGTTTGTGTTGTGATGCTGTATATGCTGGCAGAAGAGAGGGGTATTCGTTCTGTGACATGAGGTTTCATTCTTTTAGAATGTAATTCTGCTGACCACATAAAGGCCCAGGACTCACAGCACACACCACACTCGATGACCCCGTCAAATGCTACGGCCCCCCGGTCTTCTCCCCCCTCCCATGGCCAGACTACTGCCCCAGAGCCCGCAGCTGCTCAGAAGACTCCAGCCAAAGTGGTGTATGTGTTTTCTACTGAGATGGCCAATAAGTAAGTTGATGGCTGTGGCTTGCTGTTGGCTTGGCTTACGTGTCTGGACACCTAAGTTCTTATTCCCATTGAAAATTGCTCTCCTCCCTCATTTGTATTATTATCATTACAGTTAACAGCATAGAAAGAGGTAAAATAAAATATAAAACCTTGCCGGTTGGCGTAGCTCAGTGGTTGAGCATCAACCTGTGAACCAGGAGGTGATGGTTTGATTCCCGGTCGGGGCACATGCCAGGGTTGTGGGCTCCATCCCCAGTGCGGGGTGGGGGAGTGCAGGAGGCAGCTGATCAGTGATTCTCTCTCATCATTGATGTTTCTATCTCTCCCTCTCCCTTCCTTTCTGAAATCAATAATATGTATAAAAGTGTATATTATAAAACCAGTGTATACGTATATATATAAAACCTCCCCACCCCCACTCCCCAGAGACAGCCATGATACTTCCTTGGCTTTCCTTGCAAAAATATGTTGTGCTTATGCAAACACACATTATAGACCTTTGAAACACAACAAGGATTGATTGCATCAAATACTTTTCTACAACTTAGTATTCTTTTTTAAATGACATAAATATTATATGTCTATTTTAGGATAATTAGAAAATATAAATAAATTTAAAAGAAAAAAAAATCTCTCGAATTCACCAAGATAACTAACTGCTCTAAACATTTTGGTCACGTGTTTCTGGTGGATGGGGGAATCAATGGATTTTTAGTTATTTATAAAAATGTGGCCTGGCTAGTGGCCTCAGTAGTTGAGCGTTGACCTGTGAACCAGGAGGTCGATTCCCGGTCACGGAACATGCCTCAGAGTGGGGCATGCAGGAGGGAGCTAATCAATGATTCTCTCTCATCATTGATGTTTCTATTTCTCTCTCTCCCTTCCTTTCTGAAATCTGTATGTGTGTATGTGTATGTGTGTGTGTGTATGTGTGTGTGTGTGTGTGTGTATATATTTTTTTTTTTTCTTTTTAATGTGAATTGATCCTACATAGGTTTCTGCCGTTTTTTCACTTGAGATTTTTCAATGAGATACAAAGTGAACCTTGACAGCCTTCATTGATGGTTAGGTGTGCGGTTCCATGCTCACCGTCTCAGGCTGGAGTTTTGAACTAGGATTCTCTATAAAACACCCACCACCGTGTATTGGTTTGAGGGAGAAAATCTTGTGGTTTGTTTCTAATGCCTCTTTTGGGATTTGCTAATGGCTGTCTTTTAATTTTAGAAGTTTGGCAGTAAATGATAGACATTGAAAACCTGTTTCTGTTGAGCTCGCACTCAGCATTTTGAGTGGTTCTCCGTACTCCCCTTCCTCCCGCTGACAAGTTCGTTCTGGGTGGAGGTGCTTTGGGCTCGGTCAGCGAAATAGAAACCAGCCCCCGTGTGTGCTCTCTGTCTCCGCAGAGCCGCCGAAGCGGTGCTGAAGGGCCAGGTGGAAACAATCGTCTCTTTCCACATCCAGAACATCTCCAACAGCAAGGCAGACCGAAGCACAGCCCCTCTGGTATGTGGTTTGGGAGTTGGAACGATGGGTTAAAGGTTCTGCAGGGACCAGAGGTGGGAGCTGGTGACTGTCTTCAATAGGGCAAGGGTCCTAAGCTGTGTTCGGGGCATCTAACCCCATTGGTGAGTTACCAGGAGGGAAAAGGTGAAAAATAAAACAGGAGTTATGTAGGTATGTTAGGGTTTCCTTCATGTAACTATCTCTGGGACTATGAATTCAGACCCTGTGTATAGAGCAGGTTTTAAAAAAATAAACACTCTTGAGCTAGTTGAAGGGCAGAAAAAAGCAACAACTAAAACTACAATAGTGGAGTACATGCCAGTAAATCATGAAGTCATAGACGAATCAGAGTCTCTGTGACTTTCAAATGATTCTTATTTATTTCAAAGAGGACCATTGAGCCCTAGCCGGCTCAGTGGCTGGAGCGCTGGCCTGTGGGCTGAAGGGTCCTGGGCTTGATTCCTGGTCAGGGCACATGCCCGGGTTGTGGGCTCGATGCCCAGTGTGGGCCGTGCAGGAGGCAGCCAATCAATGATTCTCTCATCATTGATGTTTCTCTTTCCTCCCTTCCTCTCTGAAATCAATAAAAACATATTTTAAAAAAAGAGGACCATTGAATGCTTTTAATTGCTTGATATTTCCAAAATTATAATAAATTGTTAGTCTGCTTCCTGTCTGGAACATAAGCACCTAATAGACAACTACGCTGGAAAAGCATGCGATGGTGGTTTTGATTCAGGCCGTCCTCCAAACGGAACCAAACGATACTTCTTGTGTCTGGCATCGCCACTGCCCACCGATGCTGTGGGGAGACTAGGAAGTTCAAAACAGTCTCTGCTTGCGGGAAGCGTCACACCGAGTCCTGGGATCAGTGTCGACCATGGGACAAGCTAAAGGGCAACAGGACTGAGGGACAATGTAAGATAAAGTAGATGGCATGTCAGCAAAGTCCCTCTCTGTTGACATAGCAGAGCCTGGGCTTTCCTGGACTTGGGAAAGGCATTTCCTGTTCCTCACGGTCTCCACTCCTTCAGGGCAGAGGGCGGAGAGATCTGACATTTAAAATGTGTTTGTTTCCAGGCCTGCAGGGGGGGGGGGGGGGGGGGGGGGGGGTGTCTATCTGTATATGTATTTTTAAATGTATGCTTAAATATGTATATATTTAACTTTTAATTGTCCTAGAATGCACAGGGTACAATGCAACTCAAAGCAACATTTTATTGACAATGACAGATCTCATACAGTTTTCACCTCCACCCTCTCTCATGCTAAAATGCAATCAGAAAGGGAATTAGGCAGGGAGTTGGGGATAATTAAATCACCTTTGCTCCAAGTCTAAAATAAAAAGGATGGCACTGACGTTATTTCTTCCGTCATGGTCACCTGATATGAAATCAGTGCCCACCGCCCACAAACAGACAAAACCTGGTCAACAAAACCAAACCTAAAACGGCACTGAGAGGAGGTGAAGGTGACCTCCACACTCCACTGGGAGTCAGGGTGTGGAAGACACTTTGACCGCACAGGGTCCTGCAGGCTCGTGCCCTGCCCCACACCAGTCTCTGCAGACGGATGTGCATGGACACCTGCAGGTGACACCTCTGTGTACATAGTCACGGAATGTGACCGCTCTAAGGTGTGTCTTTGTGTTTATTCAACACAGACTGTCCCTATGCAGAGACACACATAATGATTTATGTACAAATTTGCACACAGGTAAACATTCCAGAGAGGAAGTGGGGAGCCAGGTAAGGGCCTTAGGGGTTTGGAAATACAAACTGGATTCAGTGAACAGGTAGGAGCAAATGAATCAAAAAGGGACCGTGGGGCACTCTGGAGGCTGGGAAAGAGCCCCGAGGCGGGGTTTGTGGCTGGGCCCTTCTGGTCTTTAGTTCCTTCAGTGCTGCCAAGGTTTAGACCCAGAACATACATGTCCTTCTTCCCCACACTGACAGCATCCATGTCACCCGCTGTGAGCGAGTGTGCTTTCACCCGGGACTCGTGTAGCGTTGGTCCTTAATAAATAATAATAAGGGGATCATCCAGTCTGAGATAAGGACGGTCTCCTTTCTATTGGAAAGAACAGATCGAGAGACACCACGCGCCAGGTAGCCTCAGATTTCTCCACAGGCGCTTCCTGCCTCCAGATGATCTTACTGTAGTTAATGTACAAATTCTTATCAAATATGGAATCAGTGATCACAGCCTGAAAGCAGAAACCAGAGATGCCAGGCTGCGTGGAAACTCAGGGCGAGGAGAGGAGACGCTGGAAGGAGGCGGCCTGCCTGCAGCCTCTGGCTGGGGCGGAGCTGGGACAGCACTTTCTCTCTCAGCTGAAAACATCAGGCCTTTTGATTGACAGTGAGACGTCTGCGTACACGGTTGTACTTTCGGGGAAAATAAAAAGGTGCTACGTACAGCCTCCCACATACCAAGGAACTAATCTTGCCCTGAATCAGAAACACATAGTAGACATGTGATATCAAACCTGTTCCTCGAAATAGATACTCAAATGTATTCACTTGGCAGTGGCTCTCCCTGGCAGGCTGAGACAGTTATTGGAACCTAATCTTCAGTGAGGGGAAGAGGAGGCCAGTTGACAGCAAAGGGGAAGAAAAAATCAGAATGCCTCCACGTCCCAAGTGGGGTCGTACATGGGCCATTTCCACAGCAAGTGTCAACGTAGATGTGTGTGACTGAGCCCTTTAGAACATATCTTGCTCTTTTAATTGCCCTTTTGTTTAATTTACCAATGATGTTTTAAATCTCGTTTATGTGCAGAACACACAGATATCTGCCCTTCGGAACGATCTGAAACCTCTCCCACAACAGCCCCCAGCTCCGGCCAACCAAGACCAGAATTCTTCCCAGAATGCCCGGCTGCAGCCAACACCACCCATTTCGGCACCAGCACCCAAGCCTGCCGCGCCCCTGCGTCCCCTGGACCGGGACAGTCCCGGGGCAGAAAACAAACTGCTTCCTTCGGTGGGCAGTCCTGCCAGCTCCACTCCACTGCCCCCAGATGGCACTGGGCCCAACTTGACGCCCAACAACCGAGCGGTGACCCCCGTCTCGCAGGGGAGCAGTAGCTCCTCAACAGATCCCAAAGCCCCGCCGCCTCCTCCACTGCCCAGTGCAGAGCCCCCCGCCCTGGGGGAGAACCCCGATGGCCTGTCTCAGGAGCAGCTGGAGCACCGGGAGCGCTCCTTACAGACGCTCAGAGACATCCAGCGCATGCTTTTCCCCGATGAGAAGGAATTCACAGGACAAAGTGGGGGGCCCCAGCAGAATCCTGGGGTATTAGATGGGCCTCAGAAAAAACCGGAAGGGCCGATACAGGCCATGATGGCTCAGTCTCAAAGCCTAGGGAAGGGACCTGGGCCCCGGACAGATGTGGGAGCTCCATTTGGCCCCCAAGGACATAGAGATGTGCCCTTCTCTCCAGATGAAATGGTTCCGCCTTCCATGAACGCTCAGCCTGGGCCCATGGGCCCCGACCACCTGGATCACATGACCCCTGAGCAGATAGCCTGGCTGAAGCTGCAGCAGGAGTTCTATGAGGAGAAGAGGAGGAAGCAGGAGCAGGTGGTGGTGCAGCAGTGCTCCCTCCAGGACATGATGGTCCATCCGCACGGGCCTCGGGGGGTGGTCCGGGGGCCGCCCCCTCCATACCAGATGGCCCCCGGTGAAGGCTGGGGGCCTGGGGGTGCAGAGCCGTTTGCTGATGGGATCAACATGCCGCATTCTCTGCCCCCGAGGGGCATGGCTCCCCACCCCAATATGCCAGGGAGCCAGATGCGCCTCCCAGGCTTCGCAGGGATGATCAACTCTGAAATGGAGGCGCCCAGTGTCCCCAACCCAGCATCGAGACCAGGTCTTTCTGGAGTCAGTTGGCCGGATGATGTGCCAAAAATCCCAGACGGTCGGAACTTCCCGCCTGGCCAGGGCATCTTCAGCGGCCCCGGCCGAGGGGAGCGCTTCCCGACCCCCCAGGGCTTGTCTGAGGAGATGTTTCAGCAGCAGCTGGCAGAGAAGCAGCTGGGCCTCCCTCCGGGGATGAGCATGGACGGCATCAGGCCCAGCCTGGACATGAACAGGATGATCCCCGGCTCCCAGCGACACATGGAATCGGGGAACAATCCCATTTTCCCTCGGATCCCAGTGGAGGGCCCTCTGAGTCCTTCCAGGGGGGACTTTCCAAAAGGAATGCCCCCGCAGATGGGCCCTGGGCGGGAACTGGAGTTTGGGATGGTTCCTGGTGGGATGAAGGGAGATGTCAGTCTGAACGTCAACATGGCATCCAACTCTCAGATGATACCTCAGAAGCTGAGAGAGGCTGGGGCGGGCCCCGAGGAGATGATGAAACTGCGCCCCGGGGGCGCGGACTTGCTGCCCGCTCAGCAGAAGATGGTGCCCCTGCCGTTCGGGGAGCACCCTCAGCAAGAGTATGGCATGGGCCCCAGGCCGTTCCTCCCCATGTCTCAGGGTCCAGGCAGCAGCAGTGGCTTGCGGAATCTCAGAGAATCCATCGGGCCCGACCAAAGGACTAACAGCCGGCTCAGTCACATGCCACCACTACCTCTCAACCCTTCCAGCAACCCCCCGAGCCTCAGCACCGCTGCTCCGGTCCAGCGTGGCCTGGGGCGGAAGCCCTTGGATATCTCTGTGGCAGGCGGCCAGGTGCACTCCCCGGGCATTAACCCCCTGAAGTCTCCCACGCTGCGCCAGGTCCAGTCCCCGATGCTGGGCTCGCCCTCCGGGAACCTCAAGTCCCCCCAGACTCCATCGCAGCTGGCAGGCATGCTGGCGGGCCCAGCTGCTGCTGCTTCCATTAAGTCCCCCCCTGTCTTGGGGTCTGCTGCTGCTTCGCCTGTTCACCTCAAGTCTCCGTCACTTCCTGCCCCGTCGCCCGGATGGACCTCCTCTCCGAAACCTCCCCTCCAGAGCCCCGGGATCCCTCCAAACCATAAAGCGCCCCTCACCATGGCCTCCCCGGCCTTGCTGGGAAGCGTGGAGTCAGGTCAGTGTGCTCGCGTCCTTGCGGTCACCTTGTAGCTGGAGACTGAACGCCAGTCTTATTTACTGTAGGAAAACTGCTGTCCTCACTTGATCGTGCAGCCAGAGGAGGCGGCCTTTGCCAGCGGACATCTTTGTTGGCAAAGTGCATGACCAGTGCTTCCCTGGGGTCCTGCAGGCGTGTCAGATCCTGGGAGAGGACATGGGCCGTTAGTGCCGAAGGCACCTGTCAGATGGGTAAAAGGAGAAGGGAAATGGGAAACCTGTCATTTCACAGAATAATTTACATTTGCAAAGTAAAATGTCAGCATTGGGTAAATGCGGCTTTAAACACTAGACCTCCCCACTTCAGGGGGCTGCCCTCGCGTCGAGAGAGTCTGCGTCTAATCCCAGGCCGAGAGGAGAGGCTGCGGAGACCTCAGGGCTCTCGCACATGCGCACTGACACGGGCAGTTACCACGAGCCCCCCCCCCCGTAAACTGCTGTTCTCACGATCAGCTGCAGTTTATTGGTATTTTCCTCCCAGGAGAGGCTCTCATGATGGTAGTGGTTTGTGAACGAGACCAGAGGTGGCCGAGGAAGATAAGCACTGGGGTGTAAATACCAGGTCTGAGCTGTCTCCACTTCAGAAAGATTAGAATCAAAACGAGACAAGATTTATCCTATAAGCCAAAGTGTTTCTCTCTGTGGGGTAGCAGTTCACAAAAGCCGTACGGTGGGACAGCCCCCTCAGACCTTTTTATTTCACACTTGTTGTGGAAATTAAGAGTGTGGGTAGGGCCCGTGGCAGTGGTTAAGCATCAACCCATGAACCAGGAGGTCACAGTTCAATTCCCAGTCTGGGCACATGCCCGAGTTGCAGGCTCAATCCCCAGTAGGGGATGTGCAGGAGGCAGCCAATAGATGATCCTCTGTCATCATTGATATTTCTATTTCTATCTCTCTCTCACACACACACTCTCCTCTCTGAAATCAGTAAAAAAAACATAAAAACAAGAGCATGTTTAGGGTGATGGGTTAGTACCTGGGGTCAGAGCGCTAGTCTGGCCTCACACTATACTAATCCCTGACTCAAATCCTAAATTGCAATGGGCAGGGGAACAATGCACTTATTTCACATTATTTTAGTGAAATCGTGGTCTGTGAACCGTCTTTCCCAGGCTGCACTAATATTTTTAACGCATTCTTGCTGTGTTTGTCTTCCCCTCTGCGGACCTGTCACCTCCGCCTCATGCTGCCGTCTCCCTCTGTCCACACACGGCGCTTGACTGGAAGATGGATGATTTGTGTCCTGGGTCTAATAACACTGCCCTGTTCCTCGGCCTCATCCCTGGCCTTGCTCGTTCACAGAGGCCCACGAGCCGTCAGGAGGAATCCGACTCCCTGCCCACTTCTGTTTTCTTTTGCTGTCTTCTCCTAGGTGGCCCCCCGCCGCCCACAGCCAGCCAGCCTGCCCCTGTGAATCTGCCGGGCAGCCTCCCTTCCAGCACACCGTACACCATGCCTCCAGAGCCGACCCTGTCCCAGAACCCGCTGTCCATCATGATGTCTCGAATGTCCAAGTTTGCAATGCCCAGCTCTACCCCGTTATACCACGACGCCATCAAGACCGTGGCCAGCTCGGACGACGACTCCCCTCCCGCTCGTTCTCCCAACTTGCCATCCATGAATAACATGCCAGGTAAGAGCCAGGGAGACGGGATGTAGAGCTGGTGCCAGACAGGAGAAACTTCTCGCATGTTTTTGATAACTACAGACCTCGATAGATGGAGGTTCTGAGAGGATTCAGCGTGTGCTTCTGAGAGAGCAGGTTTCCTTATAGAAGCTCTGGGGCTTCTGTTACCCGGGTTTGGGGCGGGTGTGGCCCTCCTGAGGCCGCACTGAAAGCAGTTTCTTCTTAACATGCTGGTTAGAATGTCTTTAGTTCCCCAGCGTTTCCTGAAAGGGCAGCCTCAAACCACAAGCAGCCATAGGATTTCAGACGGTGGGAAGCCCATTTCCTAGAGAAGCACTTGAGGCTAGAGAGGAAATTCCTCCCCTCCTCCGCACTCTCCCACGCCTCTCTAGCCCCGTCTCACGAACACTAAGGGACATCATCTGGGGGGTGAGGTGGGCGGCAGAGACACTGACTTTTCAGCCATTCTGATTGCTAGGAACGCTCTTTATCCCAGCAATCCTGAGTAATCAGGGCGGGACGTGCTGTGCGGACCCAACAAGCATCGTCCTCACACACTCAGTGGAGATTCCATAGAGACCAGCTACTGCAGTGCCCCTTCTTCATTGGAAGTGACCGTTTCTCTAACATTTCGTGTAACCCGAGTGTGAAATGCTCCCTCCGTAAGGCAGTGTAAGGTGATAATCCCAGTGTCAGTCGATGAAGCTGTCCTTGTTATTTCTGATTCTTGGACTTTCAGGGCTACTTAATCTTCCTTCTCAAAAAAGCACTGTGCTTAAGTCATTTAGACACATTGTTTGCTTCTATATTAAACGTCTCCAGTGAAGACTATATACTCATTTGCATACTAATTTGTAACTTTTCACACAGGAGACTTTGTTCCTAGCTGTCTTCTACATACACCTGTGTCATACCGTGTAGGACAGTAATATATTGTCTTGGAGAGCTGTGGCTGGTGTGCCCCCAAATGTACCGTCATCTGACTGAGGGCAGGGGCTGTGCGTTGTGTGCTTTCCTACTAAGTTACCATGCACATTTGGTGCACAATAATTTTTTTGTTAATTTGATTATAGTACTGAGTTGCTTTCAGTTAGGTTGATACCTTTTCTATCTTTATTTTTCTAGGACTGGGCATTAATACACAGAATCCTCGAATTTCAGGTCCAAACCCCGTGGTCCCGATGCCAACCCTCAGCCCAATGGGAATGACCCAGCCGCTTTCTCACTCCAATCAGATGCCGTCTCCGAATGCCATGGGGCCCAGCATACCTCCTCACGGGGTCCCCCTGGGGCCGGGCTTGATGTCCCACAATCCTCTCATGGGGCACGGGTCCCAGGAGCCTCCGATGGCACCTCAAGGACGGATGGGCTTTCCCCAGGGCTTCCCTCCAGTACAGTCTCCTCCCCAGCAGGTTCCTTTCCCCCACAACGGCCCCAGTGGGGGGCAGGGCAGCTTCCCAGGAGGCATGGGTTTCCCCGGAGAAGGCCCCCTGGGCCGCCCCAGCAACCTGCCCCCGAGTTCAGCAGACGCAGCACTTTGTAAGCCTGGAGGCCCGGGGGGGCCTGACTCTTTCGCTGTCCTGGGGAATAGCATGCCTTCAGTGTTTACAGACCCAGACCTGCAGGAGGTCATCCGACCTGGAGCCACCGGCATCCCCGAGTTTGATCTGTCTCGCATCATTCCCTCGGAGAAGCCCAGCCAGACGCTGCAGTATTTCCCTCGCGGGGAAGTCCCAGGCCGCAAACAGCCCCAGGGGCCCGGGCCTGGCTTTTCGCACATGCAGGGGATGATGGGCGAGCAAGCCCCCAGGATGGGACTGGCATTACCTGGCATGGGAGGTCCAGGGCCCGTGGGAACTCCAGACATCCCTCTTGGCACAGCTCCGTCCATGCCAGGCCACAACCCAATGAGACCACCAGCCTTTCTCCAGCAAGGCATGATGGGACCGCACCATCGGATGATGTCACCAGCACAATCTGCAATGCCCGGCCAGCCCGCCCTGATGAGCAATCCAGCTGCTGCCGTGGGCATGATTCCTGGCAAGGATCGGGGACCGGCCGGGCTCTATCCCCACCCTGGGCCTGTGGGCTCTCCGGGCATGATGATGTCCATGCAGGGCATGATGGGACCCCAACAGAACATCATGGTCCCCCCACAGATGCGGCCCCGGGGCATGGCCGCTGACGTGGGCATGGGTGGATTCGGTCAAGGACCTGGCAACCCAGGAAACATGATGTTTTAAGCTGCTACGATTGGATGTGCCGATCCTCGTCCGGATGAGATTTCAGTCCTGAGGGCTGCGTAGGGGCCCCAGGAGACTGTCGGTCATGCAATAGGAGAACAGAGACCCGAGGGCTGCTTTGGGGGAGGGGGGAACTCGAGAATGTATGGATTTACCAGAAAACAAATGATTCATTTAATCAACAGGTGTGTGTTTTTTAAGATTTATTTTTTAAAGATTATTTTTGTGGACTTGGGTATCCCATGATGGCACCTCCTTTTGGGAATCTGTAGCCGTGCTTTAGAATCGCCATCGGTCACGTGTTGCACCGTTCTCTGTATGTTTACGTCCTTTGGACTGGCTTCTCCCAGGATTCTTTTCTGGTTTTGTTTTCGCTTTGGGCTTTATTTTTGCGTGTACTGTACTATATTGTAAAAGGGATTTTAGCAGAGACGAAAGTCTTTGGGACGCGAGGAGAACAGGATGCTGGGCTGTTTACTTTAGGTGGAGAATCCATCTTCAGACCTTTGGACTATTTTCAACTCCAGTGTACAGAAAAACCAAACTACGACCTCAGAGCAGAGTATTAATGAAAAGCACAAAAAAAGGAACTAAGTTCAGCGAGGGGTGGGGGGAGGGGGAAATATTTTCTTTTTAAAAATCATGACATTTAGGACATTTTGTTTTTCAGTTCAAGAGTCTTCAGCACTGTCTCCCCCGTCTGCAAACCCACCGTCCGTTCTCTCGTTTTCCCTCCCCTCCTTCCCACCTCCTTGGTTAGCGTTTCCTTCCCTCGTGTCCCCAGGGGCTGCCCCTGCTTCCCTCTTCTCTGTCCCCTTTGGCAGCTGCAATACACGGTGTTATTTTGGGGAAGTAACCTGACAGACTCCTTCATGCCGGCGGCCTCCTGGCTTCGGGGGGAAGCCCGTCTTTGGAATCTCCAAGGTCTTTCCCTTCGTCTTTTCTTCCCCAGTATACCTTGCTTTTTGTTCTCCTTTTATTAGGAATTCCCAAGTGAATTTTATTAATGTGGGAGTGGAACAGATGCTAAAAGCTACCCAGGATTTTGTTTTTAATTTTGTGGTTCCTCCCCTCCCCGCTCCCATGCGTAAAACGTTCTGTGTAACCTCCATTAAATTTGGTACAAAACCACTCACCAGAGCTGTGGTGTCAGAAAATAAATATATTGTTTCTTACAAAAGTGAACTGCCTTTTTGTTTGTTTGGATTCCTGTTGCCACGTGATCAGAAGCATAGCGCCTGTGGATTGGAGGTGACTGACGTGCGGTTAGGGGAGATCCATAAAGGGCCTTCACAGCAGAAGCAGAGTCCTTGCTACTGAGTATCTTGTAGATTATCTTGTTCTGTTCCCAGCGCCATCATGAAATCCTGGCTGAAGGCAGAGGAGCGGCCCAGGTCCCCCTGCTGAATGTTACCTCAGTGGTTCTCAACCTTCCTAATGCCGCGACCCTTTAATACAGTTCCTCATGTTGTGACCCCCAATTTCATTGTTACAAATTAAACATAATTAAAGCATAGTGATTAATCACAAAACCAATATGTAATTATATATGTGTTTTAGGCGATGGTCTTAGGCGACCCCTGTGAAAGGGTCGTTCGACCCCCAAAGGGGTCGCAACCAACAGGTTGAGAACCGCTGCTCTAGAGGCTATTTTTTAAAAATATATTATTGATTTCAGAGGGGAAGAGAGATAAACAATGATGAGCCCTGACTCATTTGGCTCAGTGGATAGAGTGTTGGCCTGCAGACTGAAGGGTCCCAGGTTTGATTCTGGTCAGGGGCACATGCCTGGGTTGTGGGCTTGACCCCTGGTGGAGGATGTGCAGGAGGTGGCTGATCGGTGATTCTCTCTCATCATTGATGTTTCTCTCTCCCTCCTTTCCTCTCTGAAATCAATCCTATATAATAAAAGGCTAATATGCAAATTGACCAAATGATGGAAAGACCAGTTGCTATGATGTGCACTGACCACCAGGGGGCAGACACTCAATGCAGGAGCTGCCCCCTGGTGGTCAGTGCACTCCCACAGGGGGAGCGCTGCTCAGCCAGAAGCCGGGCTCACGGCTGGCAAGAGCAGCGGTGGTGGCAGGGCCTCTCCCGCCTCCGCAGCAGTGCTAAGGATGTCCAACAGCTGGCTTCGCACTGCGAGAGGGCACAGGCCAGGCTGAAGGACCTCCCGAGTGCACGATTTCATGCACCAGGCCTTTAGTAAAAATACATTTTAAAAAAACAATGATGAAAGAGAGTCATTGATCGGCCACCTCCTGCATGCTATCCCCTCTACTGGGGATTGAGCCCACAACCCGGGCATGTACCCTGACTGGAAATCAAACCGTGACCTCCTGGTTCATAGGTCAACGCTCAACCGCTGAGCAACCCCTGCCGGGCTCCTTCTAGAAGCTCTTAATGGTCTTTACTAGGAATTGCTTTAGAGCGAATTCAATGGTTTGAAGTAATTAAGGCCAAAGGTATAGCCATTTAAATACGTTTTGAAATGTTCCTGGATCTTGTTAGGAAAATACTCTTACGATACCTGGAAGTCCCGGGTGTGCACAGTCCACATGTCTCTGGTCCTCTCTGTCTCCCGCCTCACCGCCTGCCCAGTGTGCCCTCTGCCACCTGCTCTGTCTGCACCGTTCACTTCCCACCGCGCATGCTTCCACACGGCAGCATGCAGCCTGCGGGGCACGTGTCTCAGGCACTGGCTGGTTGTGTTGGTTGGATTTGTTCTGGTGTATTTCTTTGTTGAGGGTGTTTTTAGCTGAGTGCATGGGCGTCTGTGTGCGTGTTTGTTCTTAGGTGGGAATCCCAGTGAGCAGCGGCAGGTGCAGGCATCTGCTGTGTCCGGTCTCCTACCTGTGACTCTCCACCAAGTGGTTTGGCAGCTGTTTTCTCTTTCACCTTCCGCAGCCCTGTCTTCTCGGGAACACAAGACCCCAGACAACAAAACAGATGACCACCTGCGCACCTACTCTGCCAGTCTCCCCAGTGCGTCCTCTTGCTCATTTTTGAGGGGCCCTGGGAAGCAGGGGGTGATCCTCATTTGCAGATGAGAAAACTGAGCTCCCGGAGTTAGGAATTTCTGACAGTCAGATCTGTTCAAATGGTGCTGGGTGGCGAACATGTTAGGCTGGGGAGAAATTAGGAGAGCAAATTGAGGAATTTGTTTCATGAACTTAGCTCTGGTCCTAGGTTCTCTGGCTTTGAAGTGTATAGAAAAGAGCAGAAACAGCTAAGTTTGGGGACATGAGATGGAACCCTACTAAGGAAGCTGGGACCTGGCGTTTGTCCACGGGTCCGGCTTCTTGGGCAGCCCCACCCCCTGCTGCACAGACCAGTGCTGTGGTCACGCATGGGTGCGGTCCAGTTGCTACTGTCCCAGGAGAGCCAAGAGCCAGAGCTGGTGAACCCCTCTGGGGAGGCGGGGATGTGGCACTCCTGGCACGCCCCCTGCTGGAGAGCCTGCAGCAGTGCACATCTGCTTCCCAATAATTGAGTTTTTGGGGGAAAAAACACACACAACCTTATATAAAGCTTCATTTACTTTATCAACATATCCCCACGTTTCATCACAATGGTATCTGACAAACTTAGGTTCATTTGAGGTTCATATAACAATTTCTAATTTACTAAGATTGCTATCAAATAAAATCACATGAGAAATGATGCTATTGCATGGAGAACTGGCGATGCTAGGATTTAAAAGCCAGTGGAAGGGTGATAAAGATGTGTCCTGCTGACATAACCTGTGAAGGCCCAGCCAGCACCCTCTCACCACAAGCGGGTATGGCAGGAAGGTGTGATTATAAGGTATTTCCTCATTTATTTCTTAAGGACTAATGAGTATGTGGTATTTTCCCTAAAACAACGTGAAATAAAATAATTCACTTTTTAAAAGAATCTGCACTTATAAATGAGAACAACCCAACAATTGTATGGGTCTTAATGAAGGGTGGGCATGAGAAAATAAATTTTAAAACAATTTGACATGTAGGGATGGGCAAAAGTAGGCTTACAGTTGTGAGTACACAAAAGTTCATTCTTGACTTATTACTTATTTATTAATTACTGTATTTCAGCTGTAGACCTACTTTTGCCCACCCCTGTGCTAAACCCACTCGAAAAAGTGACGCGCAGTTTCTCCCAGGCGCCCTCAGGGCTGGCTGTGAGCCTGTGCCGGGCCCTGGTTTAGGTTCATGCTCTGCTGTCATCTTTTGAAATCCTTATTAACCTTTGAATAGGGAGCCCGCCTTCCCGTTTGCACTGAACCCCATAAATTATGAAGCTGGTGCTGCTGCTGTGAACGAGCGAAATCAGGTACAGGGCGCGGAGTCCTGGGCTCTGTTCCTGCTCCTTCCCGGTGCCGGGCCCACCGGAGGCGGTGTGACCGCTGAGCTCCATTAACCTGTCTGCACTTCAGTCATTTCCTTCTCCTGCCCTGAGTACTTTCCGAGCGGAGAGTGAGGAAAGCTGTGTTTCACACAAGGACGCATTTATTCACAACCACTGAGCGCGCTGCCCGTGTCCGCTGGCCGAGGCTGGGGGTGAGGGTGGGGGGTTTGGGGGTGACTGTGCAGTCTGATCAGTCCTCAGGGAAAGTGTGGACAGAGTGCGCAGGCCGGAGAGGAAGGCCAGGAAGGCCTCAAGGCGATGTTTGAACTTACTCTTGAAGGAGGGAACGTTTCCTGGTGGAGGAGGTGGTGAGGAAGCAAAGGCCTGGGTGGGCTTTTAAAGGGAGGGGGGTAAGAAGTGAGCTAGGGTGAGGGGGCAGGTCCCGGGATCGGTGGGGCCCAGTAAGGACTGTGACCTTTCAAAGGTTTACGAAAGGGAATGGGGTGATTAGGGTGACTCTTCAGAAACCTTGCTGCGTGGGGTGTGGAAGATGGGCTGGGGCTGGCGCTGGGGCTGGAGCTGGCACTGGGG